TTGCACTGTATCATTATCTATCTAAAGTTTCTTTTTTCCAAAGGACAAACGATATCTCCACTCCGGGAGCTCATTTTAGCACTCAGTCTAAAATTGATTACCACCTAGCCCTTATTAAAACTCAGTTGACACAATTGGTATTTGAGAGAAGAAATCTATGAACCAAGTTAACTATCCATTGCATTAAATTGGTTTTTAGCTCTATCCTATTATAAGTGAAATCACCAAATATCTTACTTGAATTGCATTTGGTTAGCTCTTTGCTGAAATGACACTATAGAAGTTGTGGGCATTTATTATTATGTTCTTGGCTTTTCAGAGAGTTAATATATAATTGTACACTGAGAATACTTTGGCAACTATAAAGACTATCACACCATTTCTACATTGTTTAGTCTTCCAAATAAAAACAATTCATGATAAATTTCTTTATAATATAGGGTGAGAAAAAACCTTGTGTACTCTTTTCTGAAATATATGTTTTCCTTATTTGATAATAACAATCATGAAATTCAACACATTATCCCTTTTACTTTGCTTCTGGGAAATTGAGGTATACATTTATGTTCAACTGCATTAATATATTGATAACCTTCGTTTCTGCATCTTTTCTCTATAGTATAGGGATTCATATTCAATATGAATTTTGCAACCTTATATATGTATTTGTCACAAATTACCTGCACTTTTTTGAAGCAGGAAGAGTATGAATAAATAAAAATGAAAAGAATGTCCTTCCCTCTTCTCTTCAATTAATCCCAGAGATAATCCATTCTTCATGGTTTTGCTCAAATATTACCAATTCCATGACGACATCTTTGACTCTCCTAGGACAGACTGCCTCTCTCTTCGACTACCCAAGAACACTTTTGGATGCAAAGTAGGATATTATCATCTTATAATATTTAATATTTGATTATATATTACTTTCAGATATTAGGTCATGTTTAGAGTTTGTTTAAGAATTAGAGCCAAACAGAAATAAAAACAATGCAAAAACAAGAAAAAATTATGACAAAACATTGTGCCACTTGAGAAATGAATATGCTTTCTTTTTTGAATCATGACCATTACCTAGACTTTGCCAAATCTCCTTGATGCTAGGTTGCCTAGACTCCAATATGAGTCTTGATCATTGAATTCATATCAGTCCCTGTGATAGTCCAGGCTTCCTTTCTTTCTGCATTGTTCTGATTCTTCTTTTTATGTATCAAGTGACCATGCACACACAAATCAATTATAAATACAAATTATTATAAAACATGAAGTAGAATATCAATTACTATTTTCTTTCAGAGTATTTATTTTCCCCCTCAATTAGACTGAAAACTCTTTAAAGATATAGATTATATGGTTCTTACTTTCTGTCCCTCATAGAAGATGTATACTGCTGGAAATAAATGTTATATATTTGATGACTAACCACACAGAAGTTATATTTATTTCTGTCATTTGTCTGATGATACCTGAAGCATCATTACTGCACAGATATTTAGTTATAAGAATTAACAAGTCTCAATAACCATTTCTAATACAGGAAATATAAATTTACATGTTCCTTAAAATTGATATGTAGTAATGTTAAAGGAAGTGGATCAAGTTTAGCCTTACATGGCATTATAAAGTTAACTAAATGTAATTCTTCAAATGCAACTAGTAGATGGACCAGCACTTCAATTATTTTTTCCCATGGATGGGGTAGAGACTTTAGGTTACTAAGTAAAATATTTAACTAGACCCTTCACTAAAAAGTTGCCAAATATCTAGAGATATCAGTAGCTCTGAAATCTTTAAAATAATTTTTTCTAAAATAAATCACATGTACTTGAATTATGAATGCATAATTACCTCTAAAATATCCATATCAAAATAAAAATGCTTATTAAATTTCTATCAGATAAAAATCTTATGTTTCCTTAAGTTAGATCTCCACAGAGATATTTTTTTTCTTTTTCTCTAAAAAACAAAAAATCATAAATTTATTTTAAATTTAAAGAGATGGCTGAAACACATTTTTAACACCAATTTTTTTTCATGTTTAAGATTTAAAAACATATTTGGATAGTTCAATTTTCAAAAATATTAACTGCATAATATCTCATCTTAAGAGGAAGCAATTTATTTCATATTCCCTTTCAATTCCTGTCCATAAGTATACACGCTTATCCTATTTACAATCATAACATTTAATACTATTTTCCTCTTTTAAGAACACATAATCAAAGCATTTCTCACTGTTTCCATCAATAATTTTTTATTTTTATTTTTATTTTAACTATGCTAGAATATGAAAAATAACTCTGTTAATAATAATTTAAAATATATTTTAAAGGACTATTTAACAATCTATTAGATAACAAAGGATGAAGAGTTAAACCTGGCTGAGGACAAGGAATGTATATAACAAAAAGTGAAAGGAAGCCTAAATGTTTACCAAAAGAAGTGTCAGGCTGACTGAGATGCAGTTACAGAGAACTCTAAGATGAAACTGGGGAGTGAAGTTAGCAGGCAGAGTCCTGTATCCCGTTGCCTTTATTTTTTTTCTGACCTTATTGCAGTTTTCCTTACCACCATCAATAGCCACTTGAACGCAATGATAGTGATAGTCTATGTTACCACTTCACAGGAAACCACAAAAGGGTCTTGGTTGAGAAACCAACTCCACCCTATTCCCAGCTTCTTAAGAACATTGCTTCCATAGGAGGTGCTTTTTTCTTCTATGCTACTTCTACTTTGTAATGAACAAAATATTTTTTTTAACATGAACTACTTTAAACTGGAACCTTGGCTACTCAATAGCTGTATGAGTTTTTTGACTAAAACATTATCACGTTTTTAGTTATTGCTAAAACAGACAAACCAAAAAGTTTGTAATATTTTTTTCCCCAGATGACAAATTCAAATCAACACTAATTACATTACCTGTGTCAGACATCCTGATTTTTTTTCTGTCAGTCATTCAAGGGCAAGAGTCTTATAATTAGCAAATTTGTATACTGGACTCCAAAGTTCATTTTCTTAACACCAAAACATCCAGACCAAAACACAGCTCAGGATTTCCTCTAGCATGGGATCAAATACTATTTTCTACTTAATGTTCAAAATTCTTCCAAGTGCCACCTAAAGAGCAATACTTTTGGATCTCATACCCGAGAAACCTTGGCTTACCTTCTTATTGTTAGACAAATTATTAACAACGAAAACCCTACGGTCTTTAATGTTGTAGTTCTCCTGGTAGATGAGTTGTGGATCTGGTTGTGGTATATCACACATGACAGGTGAGCTGAAACATATGTTCTAATAATTTAATTTTTCAAGAATTAATTCATTTAAATACGTTGTCACAAGGTCCAACACATGTTTCACAAGTCACCAAAATACATCTTTTCTAGAACTAAGGTCCCAAAACACACCTAAAAACATTTCATGAACAAAGTTTTATACTTTTTCTAGTTGAGAGGAGGTCTATAAAGGACAGTTGATATTTAGCAGTGTTCAAGAGGAACAAAGGAACCAACTAAAGGTTAAATCCTAAACTGCAGGAGAACCAGAAAAAAATATTTAACGTTGGAAAATGTATCCATCATCAGCACCAACACTGCCTGCCATTATACAGACCAAGTCACTGATTGAGTTCTTCATTTTTTAACTGGTTGATCATTTGTCCTGTAAGTCAGTCATTTAAAGTGTGGCATTTAAAGACAGGATATAAGCTTGAATAGGATTCAAACTGGATCAGAGTCAGGTTCTCATCAGTTCTGAATACGTTTTGTTTTTTTAATGCGCAAACCTTATACTAACATAACAACACAGTTCATTTTATGAGATCTTACTTAATGTGAGTACAACCAAGAACAGAGTTAGGCAGCATAAGGTGTGGCCAAAAGATTTTTTTAAATAAAATAAATTTGTATGAGTAAATGGGTGAAACACTGTTACCACAATTTGGCATTTAATTTTCAATTTTCAATTGGCAAACTAGTCACAGGATTTTCCATTTGAGAAATTTAGAAAGATAGGAGAATAATAATCATTAAAAACAACTTAGCTATAGCTATAAATGCTATAATTAAAGTTAAATGCATTAAAGATAGTGAAGGTCTTCATATTAAAATCTTGCCTAAGAAACAAATGACAACACTACATTATTTAAGAAGATTAATTTAAGAAGATTATTATGAACATCTCTCTATACGCCTTCCAACACAGAGAATATTCATTAGTAGGAAGGCATTCACCTCTACCCCCTGAAATTATAAGAACATCTGAAGCAATGTATGATTAGACATGATGGGGAAATTAATGTGTACTTGAATAATGCTACAGAAATGTTTTATACCTGTATTGAGAGAATGCATCTATTGTATTGTCCACCATACTCCAAATTTAAACGAGCAAACTAGAAAAAGATCAGGATTTCACTTTGCATGGCTAACATACCTCCTTCCCCAAGACACACAAACTTGATTAATGAAATTATTACCTTTTATATTTTGAGACTGGTATAAACACAGGATTGTGATTCCATAGAAGGAATTAGAACAATAATAACTAACACTGAGAAGAAATAAACCGATTCTCAATAGGTAAAATAAAAGATATTAACAATTATTATAAAGGATAATATAATTTGAATTCCCTTTTCAAAATATTTCAGAGTAAAGAATGAGTGAGCTGTCTCTTTGTGCCCAAACAGCATAATAAATTATAACTTTTTAAATGTATAATAAAGGGTAAGAGTTTGAGATCAATCAAGATTTAAAAATAGCATTTTGTGATAAATTGTACTCTTAGCAAATACGTTTAACTAAAATGCCACAGATAAAGGTGTTTGATTAAATTATATAGTTATTTCACTCCCTAAATTGTGAAAATATTATAAAAAGTAAACTTATACAAGCAGAAAGGCAAGTTTATCTTTTAAAAATTGGTTATTACAGAAAACAATATACCTATTTCAGAATACTTGATAATGTATTTTAAATAATATTTCTCTATACTTCTCTTCAAAACTAAAGATCTCCAGTTTGATATTGTTTTATGTGTGTATACATTATCAAACTGAACTCTTTGACACTTAATGAAATCAATCCATGTTTTCCAAACCAAATAATTCAATTAAAATGCATTTAAACAAAATATTTCTAATTACAATTGATAAATTAAAAAAAGAAACAAACCTACACAGCAATGGCAAACAATCATTCCCCAAAGCTAGTCAATACACATATTCCTGAAGAGGATATACACTTGTTTCTACATTCATGGCAAACCTCAGGCAACTTTATAGCGCCATAAAAAAGAAAAGCAGAAGAGAGGAGAATCTGCCCAGGGACTAATTCTTCTTAAAACAGGCCCTGCCACTGTTGCGTTTCGCAGTTCTACACAGCCAAGCTAAGAGAAGCATTCCTCAACACTGTGAACAATTCATTACCTTTTACTTTTAAATATTAAAATCAAAACTTTTATCAAATTATTTATGAACATTTATAGAAATTATTGAAAATATCAAAAATTTTGGCTCAAAGTCAGCAAACATAGATCAATGAGTGAAAGAAAGCAAAGCAAAACAATTCAAAACAAAACTAACACATACTTCATGGATTGATGGTGAAACATAAGAGAAATTTCTTACCAAGTACTCCAAGTCGATAGTTGACTGTGATGACGATCACATTGCCATAACTTGCCAAGACACTCCCATCATATAAATTTCCAGTCCCTTCCATATATGAGCCACCATGGATATACACCATCACTGGTTTGGGACCCCCACTGTCCCGAATATCTGAAAAACAAATGGTTGGCAATTGTTCTTATCCTCAAAAAAAAAAAATCATAATGAAGCAGAGAATATATTTTCCATTTTAGGGACAAAAGGGTATGATTTCAACATAGTTCTTTAAATTGCTGCCTTTGTTAAAGTGTTTCTTAAGCAACTCATTAAAAAGCTACTGTGGAAGAGAGCAATAGATAATCACTGCTTTCTACCTAAACTTTTGTTAAAATTATAAACTAAATTACAAAACTTGGACAAATTAGAAGTAGGTGTCAATGTTAGTGCTTTTTTTTATTGATTCCTGATGTGACAGTAGAATGAAAAGAAATAATACAACGATAATGATTCTTAAAATTTCTTTTTACAAATATCACAGACGTCATATGAATCTCACCTTGAACCATAAACTAAGGACAATGATATCACTGCTATTGTGAATAAAACACTCTGCTTTTTCATTTCTTATTTTTTGTGAAATTTGTATTGAATACATCATAGTTACATTGAATAATTTACGTTCCAATTTGTGAACATAATTACATCACTGTGTTAGAGAAGTTGCAAGAAGTTTCATTTAGCTATTCAAGTGATGTCAGATGAATATTTAGGTAGTAGAGTCCACACATCTATATTTCTCTTTGTTGCATTTAGGGGACTGTCACATAAATTATATTTTTCAGTTAAGTCCAGGTCATCTGCTCATTCCAACCATCCTTACTCTTTGGAAAAAGAAGACAGACTAACATATTTTTCACCCTCTTAGTGTAACTATTGTACTTCTAGCCCCACTTTGGCTCTAAGAGTTTGACATGTAGACAAGAAATAGAATATAGCTAAGTCCAAGTGTAAAGTGACAAAGTTCAAGGTGACATTGAAGTGATTTCTACAGTTCTAAATTTTAATCAGAAAAATTTAATTTTGCTCTTCTAAGATGCTTTACCCCAATTATGTAGTTTTCAACAAGGATTTAGAAATAATATATAAGAGAAACAGGAAAATTTTGATTGGTATTAAAAATGTACTAATTTCTAGAGAAAAATGCTAAACTGTATATTGATGAATGTGGTTTTAACTATTATATAGACTGAAATATTATATGTGTACATATATTCTATATGATTATGAATATATATACATAAAATATTACTATTATGTAATAGTCTATGACTTCTACCCACAATTGAAACAAAATTACATCCAGTGTATTATTTTTTTAATGCCAATATTAAAAGTATCATTTAGAAGTATGGCTTTGTTCCTTTGCTTTTGACATTTTTTATCAAACCAATCTCCTACATCATTATGATTGAGGTTTCAGCTTTCACAATGGATTAATATGATACAAACTCATCGAAAAAAACTGGTGATAATTTAGAGGCTGCTTTACATTTCCTGCAAAAAAAGAGATGACTAATGTACATAGTTCAATTTTTCTACTGTAATAATAAAGTGATTTCTTTCAATGAAAAATCACTTTAAGATCCAGAATTTCAGCTCAACTTGTTTGTCTATATTTTCAAGTTATGGAAAATAGCTAATGACAGAATTTAGGGACTTTTTAAAAAGTCTACTTTAAATTTTACTTAATACTTAATACCAATGTATATATTTATCATAATCTGCCCCCTCCCGGAAGGGTGTACTTAAGAAGAGTATCTTATTTGTAAGTGGTGAGAGGAGGATAGTTTGACATAAAAACTATCCACCAGACACAGCTACATTTACTGGAAAAACCTAAATTTTATTGTCTCTTTAAATCCTTGGGAGGGAAAATGATATTCATTCATTTGTTAAGATCTGGGGACTTGTGGAGATGTTGGGCTTACAGAGAGAAAACAATCCTTTTGAAATTGTCAAACTCTCCTTAAATGCCCGGTTGCTGCATACAGTTTTAGCTTATTTTTCTAGTATGGCTGGCACTGAAGAAGCAATAATAAATTATTAAACTGAAGTCATTAACTGACTGTTCACAGCAGACACTGTACTCTGCTAATTGTATGCTTGGAGGTAGCACAGAGGGAGGCTGTTTCAGAATTCTTCTTTAATTAAAATTACATAGAATTACACAGTACCAACTGTGAACAGTAATGAAATCTTGGTAGAACCATTCTGTTCACCTGGAAAACAATACAGGCACACACTGAAAAGAACTGCCACATTTTATACCTACCAACAGAATGAAGAGGACATTGTCAGGAAACACTGAAAATATGACAGTAGATTCTAGGAACTATTCTGAATCGTATCTTGATTTTTCTTTGAAAATTAAACTTGAAAGGATTACTGATAGTTTGGGCTGATTTTAATTTCCAATTTGTCCTTCCAGACTTCTCTATGATTTCAACTTTCTCTAAGAACTTAACATATCCAGCAGTTCTTTTCCAGAAAGTTCTATAAAATTCTAATAATGTGTTTTGAACAGTATTTCTTTTTGATTGAAGTAATCCTAAAGTTAATGCTATATGGAGTATTAATTTCCAAAATAGGTATAATTTTTATGCATACCAACTCTTAATATCAAAAATAATGTTTTGGACATGCCATATTTATATTACAAAACAAGTGGAATTATTTAATAGTGTTTTATCAGAGTGGTCCACCGTAGACTTTACTTTTGATAGTGTTTATCAACCTCGTGTTATCAAATATGCTGCTGATAAGGTCTGTCTTTAACCTAACTTTTCTTCTTAGCCTACTGTTCTTGTTGATATAAAAATAAATAGAAAATTGTGTAAATATAACATAATAATAATATATTACAATAAATGTAAATAGTTCAAATTATAGCTATATTTACTTTGGTTTTAGAAAGAACCAGACTCTATAAATGAAATTGATACATCAGATAGCCTACTATTGAATACTATCTGCTAATGCCATTATTTTAATAACAAAATTTGGGGAGCCACTATGTCTTTGTGCAAATGTATTAGAGGTAGTAACTTATAATAAATGTATTAGAGCCCTATTGTCCCTCTAAACTTTGTCTCACATTTTCCCCTAGAAATAAAGTAGATTTCACCTAGGATTTCTGACTTTGCCAAAACAGCAGCTACTGACTGTACTAAAATCAAAAGATACTCTCAGAGACTAAAACAGCAGTTCAGGGCCAGTAAAACTATAAATATTCAGAAAGCATGTTTATATTTTCTGTTATTTGCAATGTTTTAAAGCTTTGCTAAGCATCTAGGTCTCTGAAAAAAGTTGGAAAATAAAAGAGAAATACTACATTGATGATTCTTCTTCTTCTAAAATTTTTATGGTAAGAAAGTATTTATGTTTTTCACGTTAAAGCATAATAAACTTGGAATCTGAGTAGATAACCTTGATTTTAAATTTTAGTAACTATTTTCTTTTTCTGATAAACAACATTTTAAGCCAATATAGCAAGTATCAATAGTTCTTGAGCAGTTAATGGGGATTTATTTTTGCCTGACAATCAAGAGTTTGGAATCACAATTCCCTTTAATGGTTCTAGTGAATAATTTTTAGTCACATAACTCTTTGAACATGTTTACTGGCTTATTTTTTTCTTAAAGGACTCATGAAATTTTTTATTGTCCTTAATTTGGAGTTTGGGGGCTTTAATAGTTTTTAAATTATGTGGTATTGCCTTAATTAAATCTTTCTATAAAGATATTTCAAGATTTTTTTCTTCCCCCTACTCATTGGATGAACCTCAAATGAGTAGGGAGGGTCAGCAAAAGTATATGGAAGTGTTGGATGAATTTGTGCTTGTTAAACTGGACTTAACATGATCAAAAGTAAAATTTTTAGTTAAAAAACACAAAAATCTACAAGATCAATTTTTAAAAAGCTCTATGTAGGATGTAAAATTGCATTTGAATATTGAAATACTAAGTTTTTCCCAGCACAATTTGAATAAACTTTAAGTATCTCTTAAATTCCCAAAATAAATTGGTAGAAATCTAGGATGTTGCTTTGACCCATTTTTATCACTTCAGATTAGTCTTTTTGAAACTATGGAAACAGCCTACAAAATATGCAGCTCTTTTGATTATTATAAAATACAAATGAGAAGTGATAACATTGTGTTTGGCTTAAACTGGCAGAAGAAGAATGGAAACAACACAAACGAGAATTAAAAGTAAAGAACAGTGCTCCACTGAGAAGCTTTGGGTTAGTTTAAGCGAGTGAGAGGCACGCCCCAGCCAAGGTCTCAGGTAGCCTCTGACTGCAGTGGTTGAGAGAAAACCAGAAATCAGGTAAAGCGTTGGGCTATCAGGAAAAAATGGAGAACTTCATGTAAATGACCAAATAACTAGACTTCTGACTGAAATAAACAAAGTAGTTTATCAAGTAGTTTATATTTGCTGCTTTTTCCAGTAATGTTGATTTAAGATTTGGAACAAATTAAATGTGAAAATTGGCCTTGACTTTCATTCATCCTCACATCTACAAAATAGTTGTCAAATGAATTGAGTAGAAGATGCTCAGATTTTTCTATGAAGGTTTTTGCTTTTATTTTTGTTTTTAATCCTGGAGGATATTTAAATTTATCTTTCCTGTCTTCTAAACAATTATCCAAAATAACAACACAGAGGAATAAAGGGAATTTGAGTTGACTGTTTTGATATTCCACACTTTTGAGCATTAAAAAACATTTATTGATTTGATAACTTTTATGACTAACTGGCTTAATACTTAATCTGAATACTACCTGCCAATTTAAAAAGGTGTTTAGGACATTTTTAATGGCTATTTTAAAATGCTACATGTATTTCAAATAGGTCTATGAAATATGTTCACAATTACAGAGCTTAGCTCACTAGGGTTGCTCAGAGGTATCATTTGTAAACATGTAATTGTCTTACTTGATGCTGTTTTGCCAAGAGAAAAAAAAAAGCATAGTAAATCAACCATCAAAATATTTTTTAAACAAGAAAATGATGTATGTTAACTGTCTGGGTACTCTGGGAAAATGTGGAGTTTACAAAGCTACACACTAAGAAGCCCTTGATACCTAGGCATTATTTAGATAACAAATGTCTAAGAGTCAAGAATTTTCAGAGGGTTCAACAAACCCCAAAGTCCCCAAATGGAAGCACTCTTCTTAGAGCGCTGGGAACAGTAACACATGTCCTCACGTCAATAAATGCCTTTGATGTTTTGATAGTTTAGATTTCCAACAGTACTTTTTTTTAAAATCATTTTTAAATGAATTTTTAAAATTTGCATTTTGACATAAGTTTATTTTTAGCGATTTAGCATTCAAAATTATAACTCTGGGCAACTCTAAGGATCTATTTCAAATATTAACTTGAATATTGTATTTAATCTTTAATCCATCAGTGTGGTTCATGGTAAAGAACTTTTAATCAAATGTCATAATTTTCATTTAATCAAAATCATTCTTAAATGTTATAAAAAATACTAACAGCCAATATAATTATCGAGCTTTCAATACTTCACCACTACAATTTAATTTTCTACTGTGAAGTAGTTTATTTACGATACATATTTTTTTTAAATTGAAGTTTAGTTGATTTACAATGTTGTGTTAGTTCCCAGTGAATAGCATAGTGACTCAGTTCTATATATATATGTGTATATATATATATATATATATATATATATATATATATATATATACACACACACACACACACACACACATATATATCTTAACAAAAACAATTCAAATTGTTTGGTAAGAAAGCTTTCAGTCATAGCTGTAGCCCATGGATCTAGCACTTCTGTTGGTCTGCTTGTGTATTATTTTATTTCGGAAAATTTTTCTTACCATATTATTAATATCTTTTTGAAATTTAATTTCTAGGGCTCTGGAAATTATTTTAAACATGAGATTACATTAGTCATCTACATAAGAATCATAATGAGGGTAGCATTAAAATAAAAAAACCAAAAAAACTATTGGAACCAAAATGAACTGAAAGAATCAATGGGCCTCTCTAGACACTCCATTTAATACCAGGTAAAGGTATACAATGGAACGAGAAACGTCAAATCGATCTAGTGAGTACTTACATTTACAGGGTGTATCAGAATTGTATGTCAAAAGAAAGTTGGAAAGAAAAAAATTTTTGATATTAGTACAATAGGAAATACATTATTATTTATAGGTGGCAACAGTTTAAAATTCAGTATATTTTCATTTGCCAATCTCAAAATTACGAGCCTTTGAAATTAAAGGATATCCATCTAATCTTCTCAGAGTATTTAAATGTTTGCACAGTGTTTACTACAGTCATCTAAATGGCTGCAATGCCTTTCATGTCTATACAATTTCATTTATTTACATGATACTTAAGCAAATCAACAGAAAACAGTATTTTTAAAATCTGAATTATATTGCTCAAGAAACACTTTATATCAGCTTTTACCTTGTCCTTCATTTTATTGGTGAGGGGTTCTTTTTAAACAAATATCAAATGTAAAAATGAAACATATTTTCATATTGGGTAAAATATTTACAAAGATTAGAAAACATGCAAAATGGGTACAAAGAGACCACGGTGGGGGAATTGTTAGTTCAAAGAATACGGACAAATTTCAGTCAAAACGTGGGATGAAACGTATCAAAAGTCAGTTCAAGAAAACAAAAAAAAGCCCCTCTTTTTAAAACGTTGTAATGGTTGGCATCAAAAGCAAAACTTAACATTCATTGTTTTAAAAATTAAAAATGTATATTTATATGTAACAACAAGCAAGAAGACAAAACACATCAAAAACGGGAATTAAAAACAACTTTTCAAAAAAAGACAAGAAGTAAAAAAATAGAAAGGGGTGGAAAAAGTGATTGAGGCCCTTGTCATGCAAACAGATTTGGTGGAAAAAATACCTTCATCTTCAGCACCGTCATTATCACCTAAATCATCTGTCTGTTTCTTTGTAAGGGGACCTAGGATTGAGAACGGAGAAATGGAGGGAAAAAAAAAAAGACAATTCAAGAATAAACAAGACTGAGGGGAAAAAAATAAATGTAAATACTAAAATTCTCATGGGTATTTCCAAAAAGAGTGGGGAAGTGCTTACATCAAAGTTGATTATCTGTTTTGTTTAAGGAAAAAAAAATCCCTTTTCCCAAAATATCTCATAAAAGATTTGGTTTGTGAGTATATCCAGCATAAAAAATACATTATGATTTGAAGCTCAAGCCATAAGCAAAGGAAATGATTTTTTCAAAATACCCACTGCATACAAAAAGTAAACAGTCTTATTAGCTGAAAGAACTTAATTTATTCAGCATCCTTTCTAATTTGAATTGGTGACAGCAATAAAGAAAGTAGGCCAAACTCATTCTTTAATTTGGGACAATATAATAGCATTAGGGAAAATAGAGATATGAACATTTTTAGGTTTTTTTTTTCTTTTTTTCTTTTCTTTTTTTAAACAACATTAACACCTGGGTTTTGTACATTTTTATATCATACATTTTTCAGAACTGTGACTTTAAAATTACTTGTCATTATACAAATGTTTCCCCATGTGTTTTTATTAAATACTAGCTATGGATTTAAGACATCTGCAACCTGCACAGATGTATGAACAGATAATCTTATCACTTGGTAGGGCAAAGGTACCATTGGTAGAAGTCAGTGTTTGGCAATTAAGGCAGTTACAGAGTCAGGGCTTACATTTCATAATCAATTTAGAAATATAATAGAATTAGGCCCTAGTGCAATTTCATGCCCAGTATGGTTATTTATAATGGGATCATGTTTTAGGATAATAATTGTATTAAAATAGTGTGAATGTTTAATAAATGTTTTATTATACTTAACAATACTAATTTGCTAGAATAAAGGGGCACACCAAAGGGGAAGTCAAAGGCCATATGAAAGTAATTTTAAGCGTCACATAATTGACATATTCAGCACACAAAAATGCAGTTGAAGCCCTACATTTCTTTTTGTTTCCACAACCGTTTAATTTGTATGGCATTTCATAATCCTCATGCAAAAAACAGTCATTACAAACACAGGACACTTAAGTTAAAAGACAGCCAGCCACATAACAGTAAGCAAGAGAATTCTGTCATGCATAAAATAATACTCATAGAAAAAGGAAGAAAAAAAGGAGGACTGAAAGTCATGTGTCGCTTTCAATAATACAAATAGCAAAGAAGCAGGCATTAACTCTAAGCACACTTCATAGGGAAGGATTGTTAAACATTCTGAGAGATTTCCAAGGCCTTTCAGCGATTACTATGCATTCTATTTTTAATTCAAAACTACACCTAATACCACAGAATTCAAAGAATAAAAAACACCATCCCAGAAAACAGAAGGAAAAAATGAGATATAGTGCAGTTATGTTTCATCAACTCAGAGAGATAGCCTTGAAAAATAATAATAACTAGCAAAGATCAAAAAACTGGAAAGGAGAAATTGATGATGTAATTTAAGGGACCCACTGACTACTCAACTGTAAGATCATGGTTTCAAGACCATTTCAAATACAGACGGAGGAGCTGGACACAGTAAATTAAATGATATATTTTACAATCCTCAAGCAATCATTCCATTAAGAAAAAAACCTAGATGAAAGCAATAGTTTAAGTTAATTAGCACTCAGTTACAAGCTCACAAAAATCTACATTTCTTTAATATGACCCCGTTTAAATGCAGAAAGTACCCTCAGTATTATTTGATGTTCATACAATGATGTTGCTCCATTTCTGAAATAGAAATATTTTTATTTTAAATTTAAATACTGCTATACCAGAACTATATTTGAAAGTCACTGTATTTAAGTCATCATGTAAAATATTAGAAAATTTTCAAGCTTTTCATTTTTCTATAATTACCTAAAGTAGTCAACAAATAAACCTCAACAAATATATTTTCTTGCATTTCTATTTTCAATGATTCTGTATAGAAATTATGGTTTTATTTGCTGGTTAACGACACGGATTAAGTGCAGTGGTAGTTAGTTATTGCTGACAAAACCATACCTGTTTTCCAATTTTAGTTAAATTACTTAATTTGTTTAACTCTTGGCTATATTAAGAAACCCCTAAAGTAAGCTCAAATTTTTTTTTTCTGAATCCTCAGTTCAATAATTTTTGGAGACAAATGTAAAACCTACTATAATTAAATTAAATGTGGGGCTTTATAAGATATCTCTCTTGGATGATTAACATGACTCTCTTTCCCCGCCTAGGGTACCCAAGGCAAGTTACATGACTTCTTTGGGAAATAGTTCAGGTTCTACAGCCAAGAGACAATAGCTTTACCTACTTTACACTCATTCAGAATTGGTAGCTCTTGGTCTACATGAACTGTAACAGTAAAAGAATGTTTTATTAAAACACGATCTCCCACTTATTTGCATGTGGGACTTAATTCTCAGTTGCTATTTGACTCTGGGTCTGCATAAGTGGATAAGTCATGGAAATGATACTGCGTACTTGAGAGAAATTTTCCATGAAGGCAATGGTTAAACTAGATTTTTACTACTTTATTTATTCTTATCTTCCCTACTCAGGAAGCTGCATGCCTCTTAACTGATGTGGGGTAATGATCACATGCATACACTACATGGAACATGTCTTAATGTAGCAAATCTGAAGAGTCAGAAGCAGCTACAGATATTGCTTCAGCATCATAAATAGATGAGGACATCATTTTTCTATAGAAGGATTAAGTCACTCTTCCAAATAAAGAATTTCACTTATTGATACTATTCAGTAGGTTTTATTTAAAACCTTATTATTGGACGATCTTAAATTGTTCCCACAGTATGAGTTCTGGCAGTATTTTAGTGAGTCAAGCATAGCTGGGCTTTTTTAACATCAAGAATTTTTTTAGAAATCTGATTTTTTGAAGGTTACCTAGGAAGAAGAGGGATGATAATGGCTTTTCTGCAAAAAAATAAAAAAGATTATAAAAAGAAGGAAAACCGATTTCTTTTATCTTGTGTCCCTAAAGGCGCTGAGAATAAATATCTGAAAGGTTTTGGGTTGCAAATTGACTAACTCAACATTGGTTTTTCAGAGGAAGCCTCAGCAGGGCGAACATATGCTTGTGGACTACAGAAACAGATCCTACAGGCTCTTCGGATTCCTTATTCCCCAGATGGGAAGAAAACCCATTGCCTTGATCTCCCTTCTTCTTTGGATATTAACAACTTTGGCTTTTTTAAATTTTATTTTAATCTGTTACTATTGATGCAATTACTGATGTGAAAAAAATTTTTAATAGAAATAAAACATTGAAAGAGGTAACTGCCATTACGTTTCTTATGAAAAGCAGGCAACCACATTTTAGAGACTATGTATTCCTGCAAGTTGATCAACATGACTTCCCCAAAGGGGAAAACACTTACCCTTAGACATGAATAACAATCATTATCAACATTCCAAGCACAGCTTATGCTTCTTTCAAACTACAAATAGTGCATCCTCAGTACCAGCAGTTTAAATGGGTCTCTTAAATCACCAAAACATAAAGCAAATGAGTCCTCTAAGACCTCAGTGCAGAAGTGATTTACTCTGTCTCGAAACTCTGTAGGGTCTGTCCTCCTTGAGGAACTCACACATAACTCTTATCAGAGTTAATAAGAAAGCAGACCTCGTGTCTTTCTGAAAGGGAGTGAGAGTAATTACTATACTTTATATCTCCCATAGGCAATAAATAGTCAGTGATGAAACAACAGGACTAAGAAAGGTGTAAAGGCACTCCTAACCATGAACTTTGAACTCATTTAAACCCAAATACTTCCTTTGCCATTAACATAAATATAACTCAAAGTATCAGCCTATACAAAGGATATGCATTCTAACATTTTAGAATCTTAAAAAAAAAAGAATCAATCCAACCACAGTGCCTTTTATTTTTTAAGAAAGGAATAAAAATATCAGCATTTCTCTGTAGTTAACTGGAGAATAATTATGAGCTCTGAAATAATTACTATCTACCCACATTAACATGGCTTTTTATCATTCCCTTTGATGAAGGTCTAATACACTTTAGGTCTCAAATACATTAGAACTGATTATAAATTCCTTCATTACAGGTTCAATTCAGCAGAAATTGTCTGTACTTTGTGTCACGCATATCTGGAAAAGGCAAATAGGTTGAGGTATCATTAGCTCCTGACTTAGAAAGGCCTCCATGAGAAATGTGTCCTTCTTAAGAGAACACGTCTCTGAAATTTGGGGGATTATTTAGAGGTCCAGGCTCCAGTGAGTCCCACTGTGATAGATGGGGAGCCCTGGCTAATGACACTGCTGTGCTCTTTCCCCGCCCTCTTTACCTGACAGCCTTTGCAGTAAAGGGACTCCGAAGGATTCCTAAGGCCATTTCCACAGAATGGGGAAATGCAAGCATGCTGCCACTGTTCTGGAGCAACTGGAAACAGGCTACATTTTTCCAGGGATGTTCTTAGGAAAAATTTACTTTATAAAACTAGGATCAAGAATGTAAAACTCTATGTCTGACGAACATATAGAGGACAATGCCAAAATTCGATACACTTTAAATAAAAATGGCAGTATATTACCATATCTGATTTTTTTCCAAATTAATAAACCTTAAAATACAATGACTTTAAGAAATCAGATATCACAACAATTGGTGTCCACGCAAAGGTATTGAATTTTACCCACTGAAATTTAGTCGATTTTCTTTAACTACAATACACACCTCGTGAGACTAGAGAAATGGGTAAAAGTAACTGATTTGGAATATTTCTCATTAATTTGATATTACTATATTACATAACTAAAAGTTATCACAATTCTTAAACTGTCAATTACATGAACATATATTTACATATCATAGCTGAAAAATAATTTTATTTCTTGAAAATTTTTTAATTAAAAAGACATTTTTGAGTAATGTCATAAACCTGCATTATGATAAAATAATGCAAACGGCTATGACGAGATACTGAAAG